CCCCTCACCTGAGTTGGGTTATTGGTGTCCTCTCTGGAAGCCTAACTGTCCCACTTGCCCCCATCCTGGGACTCCTTGTCTGCACTCACATCCCTGTCTGTCACTCATCTGTGACACTCTTCTTACAATGGTCTCTGTGCCCTGAACTCCTTGAAGACAGACAGTGGTGCTCCCTGAGCACCGGAGACAAGGAAGGTGCCCACCAGCCAGTAACTATTCAGTAACAATACTCTCCCCTCTTTTGCTCTGAGCCCATGAACATGGTGAACTTTCAGAAGGAATGAGCCCTGGTGACATCTGACTGTAACCTTGGTCCCTTGACCTGTGCTGTTCAGTTCACCCAATGTGTGGTAATTCTTTGGAACCCTGTAGGACACTCCCATCTTGTCAAGGAACTCAAAGATTTCAGATCCACCCCTACTGCTCCAGCAGGCAGTGCCCCTGCCCCTTCTGCAGGGCCCGAGTGTGGCCGGGACCTGTGTGACAGGGTCCTCTGCACCAGCTGCTGCCTGTGTTGGGAAAGTCAGCCAGAGATGGGAATCTGCTTTCCTCCCTTCCTGGGCTTAGCCTGGGTACACCTGACTCATGGCAGGTGCTCACGCTGTAGACATCCACAGTAATGTAATAATATTAGGTTGTCTGAGATCTCAGAGGGGACAGTGTGCACCTGCTACATGGTACAAAAGGAAGCTTTCTGTTTATTTTTCCCTGAGACACATGCGCGCTCCTTTTGTATTCCTCTGTCCTGAGAGACAGGACACGCAGTCATTTCCTTACTCAGAGGGAAATCAGAAGAGCTCTGGGCTCCGGCTGGGCTGCGGACTGTGAGTGCTGCCTGCATGGCTTTCTGTGCTGGCCCTCAGTGTGATGGGGTGACCTTAAATCACATCACCTCTGCTCCTCGAGTTCGTGGGGCTGCCCTTATGCGAATCTTTCAAGACAGGGGAAGACAGGGGGTTTTGGCAGGAGCAGGGGCCCTCGTGCCTCTTTGTGATTTGGGTGTGGGCAGAGACTACTCAGCATCTTTCTGCTGCCAGGCTGCCCTCCCAGCAGGCGCTATAACTGCCAAACAGGCTCTGAGTCCCTATTTTGGCTTCCAGACTCCCCAGTACCCACACAGCCTCAGCCTGCACTGAATGATGACTCCCCCACTCACAGTTGGCCCCTGAAGGCTATGACTTGGCAGAGACCTTGTGCGGAGCTAAACTGCACACTGCTCCTGCATTTTGGTCATGCAGGTGCCCAGCCAAAGAGCCATCCATGAGGACCCCAAGGACCCAACAGTGAGCACAGAGCAAGTCTGACTCACACAGTGCTCAGCGCTCTGTGGGGTCAGAGGTGCTACCTGGCAGCTCTGAGTGCCAGCCTCCATGTAAGTGGGCTCTATAGGGTTGGACCACCCTGGAACTCACATTTCAGCAACTGGGAAAGTCCTGGCTTTCTTTTGAGTCAGGCATCCCATTCTATCAACCAAGCCATGGAAGCTGTGGCTCTGTGGATTCCTAAACACTGTGTTAGCAGGGACCCAGCTAGGGCAGGATTCCAGGCTACTGTCCCTGCTCTTGAGGGGCAGCCCCCACCACTCACCATGTCTGGAACACAGGGACGTCCTTCCATTCAGATTTGGGACTTTCTTTACATTTCTGCCTTCTGTGACTGATACCTTCTGGAACTGTGCTTCAAGCTTTCCTGCAGATTTCTACTGTTGCTAGAAATCTAAACATGTTGGAAGAAGTTGAGAGTGGGAGGAAGAGAAGCAAAAGCAATGGGGAGAGGAGGAGGAGGAGGAGCAAGAGAGGAAGAGGGGAGAGGAGTCCCAGAGCAGTAGCTGCACCCCAGGCCCTCCTCTACAGGCTCCTGCAGCAGAAGCGTCTGCTGGACGGTCACCATGGGCTGCCAGGGCCTGGCTAGGAAGACCAACCATTGAAGGAGTGGTCTTCAGCCCTTCCCACCCAGCCTGCTCACCTGGCGAAGCCCCCGGACGCTCTGTCACCCACAAAGACATCAGCTCACCTCCTGGCTTCTCCAGCAGGGGCTTGGCCCAAGGTTACCCCTCCCCGCCACGAATCCTCAGGATGAGCTCACCAGGCTGTCTCCGTATCCCATGACCTCTTTCAAAGGCCCAGCCACCGAGGTGAAACTACTAGGGAACCCCTCAACCTTCCTCATGGCTCAGAGCCAGCTCTGGGATCCGTTGGCGCTTATGCGCTGAGTTCTGGGAGACCACAAGACCTGGGGAGTCACCCATGCACACACTCACTGCAGCCTCTGCTGCTGGAGGCCTCTAGGCCTGGCTTCATCTGGCACCAGAGGTCTGGAAAGCATCTGGGGTGTGCGTCATCAAGAAGGAGCCTCTGGCTGGGGCCTGGCTCCTGCACTAAGGATCCCCAACACCTGAGCAGCCCTCATTGCAAAGCAATGGGCAGTGCCACTGTTGCTTCTGGCTGGACTGCAAGGCTCAGCGGGAGATGGGGCTGACTGGCTTTCCCAGGAGCTCTGTGTGGTGCCTCGCCAGCACAAGGTTGTATCCTTGGCCACCACAGGTCCCTGGGTTCAGTGAAAGCCAAGCGGTCACTGGGGGAGACCTGACTCCTCCTGTCAGAGATGTGAGGTCCATTCCATGACCCAACTCCAGGGAGAAATGCCATTCAAGCCAAGGCCCTCCTTCAGAAGTCCACCCACTACTGTAAACAGCAGGTGACAGGGTTCCTTGGAGCCTGGCAGTGCAGCAGACATCCAGGCTGATCGACGGGCCTGTGGCGGGGCCCTGAGGGAGATGCTGGTGGAAGCTTCTGGGTTTGCCCTTTCATCTAGGCTAAATGGCTCAGCAGCCCCTCTGCCAACAGCCACCCAAGCCTACCTTGTGGCCTTTGCTTTGACAGCCACGCAGCTCACACAAGCCACTCATGGGTGCCCCTGACTACTGGAGCTCGAGATGCGGCTCGCCCATGGGGACACTTAGCCCTGAGGGGACCAAGTCCTGGTTTGTCTGTCAATACAACTTAACTGCTTCTCTTTTGATTTTGAAGATTAGCATGTTTTCTTCCACTGTGGTTCAATAGATTTACTATGTATTTTTTTAAATGGAGAGTTTTTTTTTTCCTTTGTGAAAATTTGAACCAGGAAATCATGCGTGTACCATGACATACCTTGTCATCCTCAATCATTTCCCCCCTTTCTTCACTGAGACCAATCCGAATGTTTCTTTTTTCTTATCCTCTTTAAGTCAGTAGGCATGTTACATTCTGAGCAGATGGACCCAAACTCGGGGTGAATTATATTTTTAGTTTCCCTTTATTTTCCTGTTAATGTCAATGATCCTTCCTCAGTTGAATATGTGTCCTTGTATGAAAAGAACCCCTTTAGTGACCCCTTTCCCTCCAGACACAGCACAGGAAGTTCCCAGATGGGTGCCCCCAGAGTAAATGCTGTGATACCCTTTATATGTTGGCATTCCCTGATGAATTCCTAGATGGGCAAAGGCAGACACAGACTATCCTGACTTCTGGGTGGTGGGGTGACAGCTCATCCCTTAGACTGACTGTGCACAGCCCTTTCTTCCTGCTAAAGTCCTGTGTGGACACCTGATCTTGGGTGTGATGCTGGGAGAAGGCAGCGTCCTGGGGAGGGATTGGCTCCTCAGTGCCCTTATGCAACCCTCCCTACTCTGTGGGCACAGTGAGCAGCTTCCCCCTGGGTACCAGGAGGCAGGCATCACCGGGTGATCTGCTGGCTCCTTTGGACTTCCTGTCCCTCAGAACTGTGAGAAACAGATTCCTATGATCAGCTCCCCAGGTAACGGTGGGTCATTACAGCAGTCCCTGGGGCCTCTGAGAGTGACATAGTACTACTGAGCATAACCCTCGCAGTTTAAAGGGTTCTTTACTAAGTCCTCTTTCTTCTTTCGGTGTCCAGTGCACACTTTTTCTTACCACAAGCTTTCATACGGCCCCAGCACCTGTACAGAGAAGCTGAGAAATGTAATGTTTGTTTCTGTGTTGTTATGTGGCCCTTGCCGGGTGTGCTGTTTTCAATACCTGGCGTGTGAAACGCTTGCTCCTCATCCACCCTTCCCACCCAGCCCCACTCCTCTGTGCTCTGCTCTTTTCCCTGTTCATCAGATCTTTTGCCAGGAAGTCCACCAGAGTCCTGGGCCTTGCGTTCAGTCCATCTTGGCGTGGACTGACATTGCTGAGTCCAGTCCTCTTGTGGGGTCCCTCCATTCCAACTGCTTATATCTTCCCCTCAGATTCGGGGCAGATCCCATTTTGATCACGTTTTCCTTTATTTTGGCACAAAGGAGTGAAGACGGTAGGTTATTTTCTTCTAGTTTTGTAATGATTGAGACAGCTCACAATGAAAGCATTCAGTAACTCTTGCCCATACTACTTTGAATATATTATTGTCAGTGAGATACAGCTATGTTATTTGTGGTTATCTTATAGTTTGTTATTTTGTAGGTTTTCTCACTGTCATGACACATTGTAGCTTTCTAGCTGAAAATGTGTCTCTGTTTAATTATGTGTCATGGAACATTTATCCCATAGTTCAGTAGTTTAATAGGAAAGACACTCTGTTTCTTGGGCATCGTTGGCCACTTTTGCTTTTAGTTTTTGTTGTGTTTTGTGGTTGGTTTACTACAAGGGTATAGCTCACCAAACCCTCAACCCTTTAAAAAGTCAAAAAAAGTCAGGGTCCTGCTAAGTTGTGTAGGCTGGGTTCAAATGTGCCAACCTTGTATGTCTGTTTTGCAGGGTGAGGAGTCACAGGAGTGGCATAGTCACACTTTTTACGATTCCTGATTTGCTATTGAATTTTGACCGAGAGTTACATGATAATCAATGATTAATTCTATTTTGACTTCTTGGCATTTCTTCCAGCAATAGAGTTTGCATCCAAACACTTGTAAAATTCAATTTCACTCAAGGTCTGTTTCCAGGAACTGCTCTCATCCTTGGGTGGATTTTTTCCTTGTGCATTAACAAAATAGCATAAATAAGTAGGATAAATTGACCCTGTAATTTAATAAATTTCCTTATAAATAAATGGGATGTGGAGGCTGGGAATTGAAAGTGCTTCCTGCCCTTCAGCCCAGGAGTCCAGGTCACGACCTCCTGCAGCACCATGGCCACACATCCTGGGAGCAGAAGGGACAAGGGCCTGGTGGTCATGGTGATTTTGAGAGGGGACAGAGGCTGGACCCAGAGCCCTTCCTGGGGAGAAGGCGCTGCTCCACAAGGAGGCTGGCAAGGCTCCTGGGGTAGTGGAGGAGGGAGGAGAGGTGAGTTCGGTGCCAGGACAGCCCAGGAGGAGGAAGGGCTTCCCAGTAGAACAGAAAACTGGGACAGGGAGGGCACATTCTCGCCGCATGTGGGCTGGAGATGCAGCAGCAGGACACCTGTGCAAACAGAGTGGCTCTGGGAGCAGCAAAAGGGGCAGCAGCACGGGTGTGACTGTGCCTGCAGGGGGCGCCAGCGTGTGGATGGTGAGGGTTGTGCATGAGGCTAGTGGATTCCCTCAGGGATGCTGAGGAGACTTGCTGGATCCTGGGGCCTGGGGTTGGAACCTGAGCTCCATGGCGCCCTCATGATTTCCAGGCAGGCCTGGAGATTTGGGGGCAGAGGGGCCCAGGGCCTGTGGGGTGCGGCCTCAGCCACAGTCACCCTTCCCAGCACAAAACCTCGCACCTCTGGGTGCAGGACTCCAAGACACCCCATGACCTGGTCCTCTCAGAACCTCAGGGTGTAAAGGGAGACTGAGACACAGGGAGGTGGTATTCATATTGTTAAATATCACCAGGGCAATGGGAGATGGGGCTGGCGGGGGTACTGAAGCCAGAGAGCAGTTACTTCTTTGTGGGATCCATCACCTTCCCCACGAAGAGGGGCGTCTCGGTGGAGTGATCCATGATGAGAAAGAGGAAGGGTTTGTTGAAGGACAGGCGGGGTGGCAGAGACGTGACGATGACTTCCAGCTCTGTGGCCCCCGCAGCCTCTGTCCCCTTCTCGTCGATGGTCACCAATGCCTTGTGCAAGCCCTGCAGGGGAGAGAGGCAGAGGCAGGCGCTGAGGCTGGGCTGTCCCCACTCAGGCTGCAGCAAGGCTCGGCGGGGAGCCTTTTCCCAGCAAGTCCTCACAGGAGTCCTCCTCCTCCTGGACGGTCCTGCCATGTACGAAGCCCTCTCCCCACAGGGTCACACGAAGCATTTCCCTTCTCTGTCTTTGCCTGATCTGGCCCGCTGACCTCTCAGCTCCCGTCCTAACCACCATCTGTCACACCCTGAATACAGCCCTCCTGCTCAGGAGGAGAAGGTCGCATTGAGGCTGTGCCTCTCCACACAGCTGCCCATTCCAGTGTGTGGCAGTGAGCTCCAGGACAAGGACTCTGCTGGTGACTCTCCTGCTCAGACCTCTTGAGTACACAGCCCGCACTGCTCTGTGCCTGTTCCTGGTCACCTTTGATTTCCCTGAACCGCTGCCACATTTGGCTGAGCTCATTCAAACTGAGACCTGCTGGGTCACCGGTACCTCTCAATCTCACACATGGAAGATTCCAGAACACCCAGTGCGTTGCGGGAGGCCCAGCCTCTCCATGTGAATGTGGGTGACTTGAGGCCCAGGACCCTGAAGGTCCTAAGAGAAAGGGAGACTGAGGGTTGGGAAGGCACCTGAACAGAGGTCCCTACCAATGCGGCAGCACGAGAAGCCACCTCCCCAGCTCTCTTGCCTTACCCTGATTTGTCCAGTGAATCCTGTTTCCTGCGGAGGAGCTGGAGCTGGTGGGTGTCCTGGATTCCCTTCCTCATTCTCGTGTCAACTTGTGACCTACACCGCATTGTGCCCTTCAGATACTAGGACATCACCATCATGTGACCTCACCTTGGAGATTTTCAGGGGCATGTCCTCTGTAATCCCCGAGAGGTCAGCAGCACCACTGAAGACACTGGTGATGCCCAAGTGGCCCAGGACCTCCTTCAGGTCGTAGGTTCCAGAAATGGACAGTTTGGGGAGATGCACATCGGCAGACCTGGCATGAAATGGTGAATGAATGTGATTCACAGCATCGCTCACGCTCTGTGGAGACCACCCCTTGTGACAGTGTTTCCCTCCCCTCCTGTCTCCTGTTAGTGTCCTGTCCCTGCACAGCAGGATGGGACACTGCCTTGAGTTGTTGGAGTTTCATCTTCCTCTGTCCTGGGGACAGACAAGATTAACATCATGGGTCCATGTGTCCCGGCAGCCTCTGAGATGCCACCACCTGTGTGAAGTCCTGGGGGCAGTTGCAGGCTGCTCTCCTGGGAGCAGTTGTCATCCTGCCCTGCAGAGTTTGGTCACCCCTCTGCCCCAGGCAGGGACTTTCTGTGGCCTGACTCCCAGGAGAGTATGTGTCACTGGGGCAGTGGCTGAGACAAGATGGTCCTAAAGAGGCTGAAGGCCCAGCTCTAGTGTCCGGTGGGCATAGGTGAGGCCCCAGAGGGTCTGCACTTAGGGAGGAGATGGCCCGGGTCTGGCGACCAGCTCCAGGAGCAGCCCGGACTTCTGGTCTCAGCCTGGACATAGGTACCCTGAGAAAGTCAGGATGACACTGTAGTGACACTGCACAGTTCACTCTTAGCCTCAGGTACATTTGCACATCTGTATACAGTGACCTCCATGAAAACGTGCCACAGAGCGCTGGCTCAGTTAATGATGTACCAACTTGTGCTCATCTGCAGTCCTTTGGGGGGACTACGGGCTCTGGGGACCCGGTAAACCACACTAAGTGACAGAGAAGAGGCGCATTCTGCAAAGCTCCCTGAACTGTCCCGTGGTGGCCTTTCCCATCTAGGCCCATCCCCTCTCTACACAAGCACAGCCCAGCCTGGATGCCACACTTGGCCACCACCTCCGCCTGGTACTACTGAGTTCTGCCATGACCCCTGCTGCTGCTGTCCCCACCCCAGGCCCTGGGTGTGGGGAGGAGACTCTGTGCATTCTGGGAAGTTCACCCCTACCCCTCAGCAAGCCCTGTGCTTCGTCACTCTGCCCATCGTGCCTTTCAGAGTCTGGTTGGTGCTAATGGAACAAAGCGCTACTATTTTGTCTTTTGAAAGCCCCAGGTCATTTCGGGGAGCTGAGGCCCAAATGATGTGGGCCACCCACTGTCCGTGGCTACTGGTCATGGTGGCCAAGTGGGTTCTAAACCAGCTAAGAGCTTGTGCGCACTGTATGCTCCCTGGCTGGGGACTCACATTCTCTCTGTCTTGCACGCGAACTTGAAGACAAGATCTGGGGTGAGTGTTTCCTCCAGGTGCTGCATTTTGCCCTCGTCTGGCAGGAGGAAGAGAGCGGTGACATTGCCCTCGTAGTCCAGGAGCAGCACCCAGCTCTGGATGGTGCTGCAGTAAAACGCTTTGAACATGCCCAGCTGCTTCATCATGGGCACCTTCACAGTGGTATTCGCGTCCACGTGGAAGTCCTCTTGCGTGGTCCTCTCAACATCAAAGGGTTTCTCCCATTTGCCTGGAGAAGGGACAGGAGCAGTACCCATGGGTGGGACGGAGGTCTAAAGGAGTGTGATGGCATCAAGGAACTGGCCACGTCCTCCACTCTGAGGCTGAGTTTCATGGAGGGCAAAAGGCATAAATGCGACTGTAGCTGGGACTGCAGGGCAGAGGGAGGGTACCTCCACACCAGGAGGGCCCTGGAGTCTTCAGGCCAGGTGAGCAGGGACCAGCCTGACGGCACCTAGCAAGCATTTTTGCTTGGATTATATATTTAAGGTTGGCTTGGAGATTACAAGTTAAATTTGGGGTAGCAGTCATTTTGGTGACTCCTCATCCAGGGTGCCCCATAGTCCCATTCAGGACTTTCTGGGTTTACCCTACTCCTTCGCCTGGACTCAAATATGCAGTACAGAGGCGCCCTCTGCTGTACTAGTGTGCCCCGCCTTTCAGCCTGTTGGCTTGTGCAGGTGACTCTGGGACCCCAAGCCCACCTTTCTCGTTGGACAGGAGGAGGTGGTGAGACTGGTGAGGGGACAGGAATTGTCCCAAGTGGCATCAGCGCTGGGGCCTCAGCACCATGGCCTGTGTGCTCTGTTCTGCTAGACAGGCCAGGAATGAGGACCTGGCCTGGAGCCTTACTTTCCTCCCCAGGCTGTTTCCCTGGGTCCCATGGGGTCCTGGCCCCCCATGGCTCAGAAGTGGGAGGGTAGGCTGAGGATTAGTGGATCAGCTATGCATTCTATGTCCATGCCCCTGTGTAATGTGCCTTGGTTTCCCCTTTCAAAACCTGACAACAATGGTATTGTTCTGTGCATGAAAAGACAACACAGTCTCACTTCAAAGAGGTAGAGTGGCCTCTCCAATGTCAAGGCTGATGCGTAGTGGATATAAAAACAAGTTTTTTTGTTATCATGGGGATTGAGCCCAGGGTCTTCGCCCTGAGTCATGTCTCCACCTTTAACTTAATTTAATTTTCAGACCGGATCTCAAATTGCCTGAGCTCGGTTCCCATTTGCAATCCTCCTGCTTCAGCCTCCCAGGGTGCAGGGACTATATCCCTCTTAAGGATTCCCAGTGAGCATTAGGGTGTTAAAGTCTAGCTCAGTTTAGGCCACTTGTGCAAACTTACCTCTAAAGAAAATGTAATTCACCAGGGCAAGAACTGTGTCTGCGCCCAAGTCTTTCACCAAATCCACAATTTTCCCTTGGGTTCCCTTCTCCACGTAGGCGTTGATCTGTTTCTCCGCCTCTTTGGGGTTGCTGAAGTTGGTGGGGAAGGCTTCTGCATGGTAAAGGGTCTTGACATCCTCCAAGAACTTCTCCTTGAGCTTCAGATTCTGGTCGAGAAAGAGGCCGTTGCCGGTGGTCAGCTGGTGCTCGCTGTGGGGCCTGTTGAGGGTGTGGAGAAGGTTCTGGAAGCCATCGTGGATGTCAGCCTCAGCTATCTCGGTGAGGTTGAACTCCAGGCCCCGCAGGATCTGCGTGTGAGTGTCCCCTTTGGCTCCCAGGGAGACCATGGCCAAGGCCGTGGCAATGCTCACGGGGGAGAAGAAGATGTTACTGGTGTTGGACGGCTGAGTCAGCACCCGGTACATGCTGTGAGCAAAGTGGGCCAGGCTCCGGGGGACCTTGTGGCAGGGCATGTGTTGGCTGGGTACTTGTGCCACCTGAGCATCCTCAGCCATGATGCCAAACACCAAGCAACACAGGCCTGCCATAAGCAGGTGGCCTCGGGGGATAGCGGACGGCATTGTCCTGCAAGACAGAGAAAGGGGACAGGAGCCCTGCATTAGGACCTGTCACATTGCCCATGGCCGCCGAGTGACACCGTGCAGCAGTGTCCGCCATGCGTCCAGCCCGTCCCAAGCACTTCCCTACCCTGCCCTCATTTAAAAAATCAGTGCTGCGGTGATACCCTTGCACTAAGCTCGGTCCTCACATGACTCCAGCTCTTCCTTGCTTGTAACAGCGCTGTGAGCAAAGGGCCACATTCCTGTGCTTACCCCAGGGATGCCTCGCAGCCCAGGTCTGCTACTCAGTGACAGGGCAGAGTCACAGTGCAGCCTGTCTGGTGCTGAGCCCGTGTCCTTGACAGCTCTGCTTTCATCCGAAATCACCTTCGGAGACACTGACCAAAGCAGAGGTGGACGGGATTGGCATTTCCTGAGTAGTCCAGAAAGATCAGACTCAAGCATTGCTTTGAGCCAGGACAGCCCCTAGAGGGCATCCATCCAACTCCGTTGTTTAACAGCTGGGAACCCAGGTGCCCAAGGAAGCAGGGAGGGAACCAGGCTGAGGCCTGGAGCTGGATAAGGTCCCAGGGCCGCTCCACCCTCCCTCACCAGGCCTTCCAGCCTGGAGGCTTTTCCTGTGGGCTGGCTGTGCTGTTCTGCTGTGATCCAGCTGAGTCTGGGCTGGGGCCCCTGCCATCAATGCCCCACCATCTCGCTCCTCTCATGGCCAGACTCTGGGGAGGACAGAGATGGCCCATTGCTCCTTTAGAATGAGGATGAATGTGGCGAGGCAGAGGTGGAAAACTATTGCTCAGACAGCCATGAGTTCCCGTCCAGGGTAGGAAAGTGCTCGGGACAAAAGTGTTCGATCATAAATGGGCCCCATCTGTAAAGTGGGGTTGCAGGAGGGTTCCGTGAAATAGCTACAGACACAGAGGGTCTCTGGGGTGTCGGTGGAGGGAAGTCACTGCAGGTGTCACAGACCCAAAGCCTGCAGGTGACAGGCAGCTGCGGGTTACGTGGTTCCTGGCCAGGGGAGATGACGGAGTAGCAAGATCTGCAGCCGAACCAGTGAGGGTGGCCGTCCGGAGGTGGCCACAGCCGCCAGCACCCACAGCAACCCAGAGCCTGCCTTCCCCACAAGGCTGCCTCGACCCCACACCTGTCCGGCCAGGAGCCACTGGTCGGCAGCATTTGTCTTCTTTACATATGGGGAAACTGAGGCTCGAGTTGCAGACAACATGCCTAGAGTTGCACAGTTAGCTATTGATTGGCTCCTTAACTACAACCACCACCTTACTACAGCACAGAAAGAAAGGTGTCCAGGAATTGGGGATTTGAAACCTTGAGGGGGAAAGGAAAGGCTGGGCCTAAGAGGCCCTGAGTTTCACTCGGACTCTGGAGCTCTTGGGAGTTTCATCGGCATTAAATGGAAAAAAGAGTGATTGGAAAAAGTCATGTTCTACCACCCTTTCCTGCTGGGCTTTGTATATCAGAGAGGGAGAGAGAGAAGGAGAAAAAGGGAGAAGGAGAAAAGGAGAGAGAGAGAGAGAGAGAGAGAGCTGTCACGGGTTTCCACTTTTCTCCCCCTAGCCCGGGTGTAGACCTGAAAACAGCGTGTTCCCATCCCTCTTAGACCTTGCCTTTCTTTCCCGTCTGGAGCTTGGGGCAGCCCCATAGAAATCCCCCATCCTCACAGGGATCAGGGGAACACCACAGGGCGGGGATGTGAACTGTGCCCAGTGGCCTTGGGGTCAGAGCCTGCGGACAGCACCGCTGCTACCTGTTGGCCTCAAGTGGCACCTGTGGCTCCGCTGTCACGGGGACCTCACTTTCCAAAGGGCTGAACCCCCCGAGTCCAGAGGCAATCAGGGTCGGTGTCACCCAGAGCAGCAGTGAGCTGTCTCCCCACAGAGCACCCTGTGCTCCATGCACATCCAGGTGTCAAACAATCGGTCTGAGTCCCCCAAAGTGCAAGTCGCTACAATGGGCCTGGCTTTTTCTATCACTCGGGTCACAGCCTAGGGGCTCAGGCTCCAAGGACATCAGGGCTGAGCCCGGCCTTGATCCCCAGTATCCTCTGGGGCTCGTTTTGTACCTCAGTCTGTTCTCCTGGCACCCTAAGCCTAGAGCTGGGAGGAGATAATGGCCGTGAAGGTGCAGAGGCCCAGCTTCCTGCTGAGGATCAAGAAAGGAACAGGGGCAGGGTGGAACCCAGGGAGGGTGGGAGCAGCCTTTGTGAGGCAGGAGGCACAGCGGCAGGTCACCCTAGCTCTCAGCTCCCACTATTTCCACCCAGGAGCATAAAATGAGTGGCCAAGAACCCCCTTTCTGGGAGGTGGCCCAGCGTAAGGAAAGGTCACAAGCTGCTGAGGCCAGGCATGAGCCAGTCCTGGCCTTCCCTGCAGGTGGCCTAGGCCGGTGACTTCACCTCCAGGTGCCTCTCTGCAGAGGAAAGCCTTTGCAGACAGAGGCACAGCACCAGCAGTGAGGGTGGTGGGGCGCTGGCAGGGCTGGGAGCCCTCCTGGGGACCTGTAGATATGAAGTGTCTTTCTGGCCAGTTGTTGCATTGCTGGGGGCCAGAGAAGGGAGTGCTGCTCAGCAGGGAACTATCCCAAGGCTGGCAAATGTCCCCTCCTTTCTCCATGTCCTCCTGCACTGCCTGCTGCCCCATCCTGTGCTAAGTAAACCTCAGCATCAGTGTCACCCTCACTGTGCATTTACTAAGCACTATGCGCAATCTATGCAGCCTCATCTAAGCGTCCTTGTCATTTATCTGGTGAGGTGGAGAGTATTATTAGTCCCATTTTACAGACGGAAAAATTGAGGCCCTGACCAGTTAAGCCTCTTACTAAAAATCACAGAGCCAGCTGCCTACAGAAGTAGGCACTAACTCTTCTTGTCAGAACTGGGCACTTGATCCTTCTCTATGTTCATTCACACTTGGGGTCAGCAAACCTCAGAGGTGACCTGGCATGAAGAGACGCAACAGCTAGGTGGCGAAAATTAGGGGCTCTGAGGCCAGGTTGCTGAATCCAACTCGCTATTCACTGTGTGACCTTGAGCAAGTTATAAAGCCTCTCTGAACCTCAGTTTACTGGAGGTGATAGGGTGCCTCTGTACAGCTTCACAGAGTGACTGTGTGAACTAATATGCACAAAGTTTCAAGAAGTGCCTGGAAGCAGATGCCATAGAAGCTCCAGCTGGTTCTGACCATGCTGGGGTCTCTGTGCAGCTGGGTGTGGGACCCAGGCTGCCTTGGCCAGGGGCATCTTTCCATTCTCATCTCCAAAACCCAGCAGTAGCAAAGCCAAGTCCTTCTCCCTCTGCAGAGATCAAGGTGGGAGGGCAAAGGTCTTCTTGTTTGGCTCATAGGGCAGAGCAGTGGAGCAACTCCCTGTCACAGAGCCTCGGGGCACGGGGTACCTCGGGCAGCCCAGGCCTCCTGCTCCACAGCCAGCCTGAGACCCCAGGTCTGTGTCGTGGGCTGTGCGGGATTCAGAGCGGGGTTCAGACCTCTCTGTTCCCATCCATCTCCCATGTGAAATGGTGGTAACCATAGCGACCACCTCCGAGGGCACTGTGAGGCAGCTCAGCTATGCCAGACTGTGCCCTGGGCCTAGAGACAGCTGGGCTCAGGCCAAGGGTCACACAGGATATCAGCTCCAAGACCCCCGGCAGTGCCCTCAGTGGGGGCTTCCCACCCCCAGGGTGCACAGGGAGCCCCGAGGCGTTAGGAGGAGGAGGGGCCTCCTTCCTCATCCTCTGAAGGGAGAGGCTGGATCCAGGCAGCAGGTAGGGGGAGGATCAGGGCAGGAAAGGCCCTGGTGGACACGGCACAGGGAACTTCCCTCCGGTCACCACTGTGGCTGTACCTTGGCTCCCCAGGACCCCTCTCTCCTGTCCTCCTCACCAAGGAGGCAGGCAGGGCCCAGTCTGCATGGGAGAGGGCCCTCGGGGCCCCAGCGTCCCACCCAGGGAAAGGCACACTTACAACTCGGTTCCAGGCCCAGCGGCAGAGATGCAGGCTGAGGACCAGAGCCCTGTCCTGGTCTGTCTTTAAGTAGCGATGCAGAGGGGCACCAGGAAGCTGCTAGTGAATATTAACCAAGGTGGCCTGCTCACTAGTGGAGAGCAAACAGACAGGGCCTAAGTTCATGGCCCTGCTCTGAGCTCCCACCCACGCCGCCTGCCACCCGTTCTTCCCAGCACCACAGCCAGCGTGACTGAGGCCATCCTGTCCCCCAGGTGGGTGGCTGGCCTGAGTCAGCCAGCCTCTGGGACAGTGCCACTCTGCTGACCCTGCATCCTCGCTGGGGCATCCATGGTGGCTGCCCCACTGGAAGCAGATGCTCCATTTCCTGAGCCAGCTGCCTGGAGATCCTGGGCTGCGGACACTCTCCCACCCCGGGAAAGACCCAGTGGGCTATGATCCCGTCTGACTGGGGGGAAACTAAGCCCCAAAGCAGGGAGTCTGCTCTTCCACAGGGAGCCACCCAGCTTTAGACACCCAAGTCCTCTGGATTCACTCTCCAGGGAAATGCAGAATGAGACAGAGCTCCAGCAGGCTGGGCAGGGGACTCTGGGACAGGCCGGATGGGGAGGGAAGCTGTGCTGTCTCAGGCAGACACTCTCCCATCTCTGAACCAGGAGGGGTGTTTGTCTGCATCACAGAGGGTAGGGTGTCCCTTGGGAAAGTCCTTGGGAAGGCCAGGCACACAGTAGATCCTGTCTTTGCCTCTGTCCAGACCTCTGTTGTTTGCACCCGGCTTCTCTGAGTGGCAGGAGGGTCCCTCTGGCCGTTCCTGGGCCTTTTCTCCTCAGGCCACCTGAAGTCTCCTTGCGAATGCAGCCTTGCCCAGGGTATGCAGACTTTGGGGTACAGCTGCAGCCAGCTGTGTAGTGGGGTTGCCGGGCTGGCTAAAGGGCCCCACTTGATTTCAGTGCTCAAGTCTCCCCTTGACACCCCCGTGCACCCCGTGATGGTAGTGTACCCAGACTGCACCCGGGGCTCCATGCTGAGTGACTGGTGGATGGCTTTCTCTGCTGCCCCCACCCTGGGGCTCTGCAGGATGAGGGACCCATGGGACTCTAGTGCATAGGCGCAGACTAGGGAGCACACTCAATCAGTGAGGCTGTGGGTCTGGCTCTCTGTCCATATGGTGGGGACCGTGACAGTCATGCCTTGTTTGGCTGCTGTAGGATGACATGCACCAGTAGCAGAGCCTGGGCCCAGTGTGCCTGGCCAGCTCTGTCAGAGCTGTGCCCCACGTCAGGTCACTCAGGTGGGCTTGGGGTGTCCGGGGAGCTTCTGGCAATGCCTCCTTCAGTCCCTCAGTGACTCCTACAGGAAGTGGAACCTGTTCATGCTCCCCTCCCTAACTCCCCTCCCCCCACATCACCTGGCTTCAGGGTCCTGGTCTGTTCCCTGGCACCGCATGGACCCCTCCCCCAGGAGCTGGCTGCTTTGTATCCAGTCCCAGCTGGGAGAGCCGGGCTGTGGCCTTGGGGAGGCCAGCCCTCGGTAGTCCTGGGCATGTGTTGCCCTCTCTGGGCCTCTGGATCTCCATATGTGCAGTGAAGTCCATGGCAGTCTGTCCTGTGCTCCACAGAGTGGGCAGTGGCAGGTACCCCATCTTCTCAATTGTAGACTCTTTAGGTAGGCAGGCGGCCTGAGGCCCTTCTTGCCCAATGCCCCTCTGGGTAGGATCCTGGTGACCCTGGAGCAGGTGTGTCTCCTATGGCGATGGCTGCTGAGTTCCTTGGTCACCTCTCGGTTGTAGCACACAGACTGGTGCCATGTACCCCAAGCTCCCAGTGTGTGGGGATGGGTCTAGAAGAAGGGAGCCCTGGCTGGCAGTGGTACTGCCTGGGACTGGGTCCGAGAGGAAGGCAAAGGCTGGGACAGGAAGGGGTCTTATCTCTTGTCCGGCAGATGCCAGTCTGGCCCTTCCTGGCTCAGGCAGTCCTATGTGTCCCTATGGACCTGCTCTGTCCAGGCTGGGTAACGCAGGCCATCACCCACACCATCCCCAAAGAGGAGCCATTGTCTAGCTCACAATAGAGGAGCATTGCACTCACTCAGGACTACTGGGATTGACATCCTCTCCCTCCTGGCATGGAACCCGATGGGCACCAGCGCCTTGGCATGTTTCCTGGGCCAGGTGCAGAGGGAGGAGGATAGAACTACCCTGAAGTGCCCAGTGGAGCCCCTGAGACTATGGAGTGTCCATGAGTACGGGGAGGCATGTGTCACAGGCCTGGCAGGGGTGCCAAGGGGCGCCTGGGCATTTGGAGGGGGAATGGGGAATGGCCCAGAGTAGGAACAACTGAGGCAGTCAAGAGGCTCAGGATTGGGTGCCTTGAGCGTTTGATTTGGGGCTCCATGCTCAGCCTTCATCTGTCAGGAAACAAGGCCTGGGAAGAAGGATTGAGTAGAATCTCCAGGGTGGGGTGTGGCTGGGTTGCTTTCCAGGACACTGCCCCACAGCCCAGGACCCAGCAGGGACAGTCTTGTCTGCTGATGTTTCTGGACTTATCTATTGCATCATCTGTGCTGAGTCCCTAGCAGTAAGATGTGTCATAAGATGTACCTGGGCCTCAAGATAGGAGCCCTGTGATGTGGGCTGGAGGGCATCTGCACAGGGAGACCTGGAGTCTGCAACAGGGAAGGGGTGGGGACAGGGCATTCGAGAGGTCCTGAGCTAGCAGATCCAGGACCCAGGACAGGAGGCTGCAGGGGTGGACCTCGGGGCAGCTGACCTGCAGAGCTCCCGGGAGGGTGTGGGTATCCATGGCCCCACCCAGACTGCAGGTGCCCGTGGAGGACAGTGTGGGTTTGGGGCTGAAACTAAGGGTCTGGGCTCAAGCCTCACCTCCACCACTCCTTCTGTGACATCTTAAGCCCCATAACTGCCCTGTGCCTCAGTTTCCTTGCCTGTGAAGTAGGGCTTAGAATAGCCACTTGCACCAGGGCAGGGAAGAAGAGCACGTGAGGTGACAGCAGAGAAACTCTTCCAGCACACGGTGGCCCTGCCACCGGACTACACGTGACTCATAGGGATGGGCACAGAGAGCCTTCGCGGTAGGTCCTGGCATCTGAGCAGGAGACTTGCTGTGTGGGGCCCCTGCCGAGGGGAGCAGCACTGTACCCGGGGGCCTCCTGAGACCCAAGCTGTCATTTACCCAAAGGCTCCACCTCCCCAGGGGCTGTGCTCCTGCTGCTTCCCAAAGGCACAGGGCCAGGTGTATTGGCCTCTTTCTGAGCATGTGTGATGGGCAGCTTGGGCTTAGGGGGAGGGGCTCTCTGAGCCTCAGTTTGTCCCTCTGTGCAACAGAGCAGCAAGCTTTCTCACGTACTGCTGCCGTGAGGTTTGAACAAGGTGCAGGCACGGGGTTCACACAGTCTGCTGTGTTGGCAGTGTGGCCCCCACGTCCGTCTTCCCTGAGCTCGTTTAAATCCAAGTGTTCTGGGCTTTATCTCCTGGAAGAGGAGCTGAGTTGGCCCAGTGCTTCTCTTTCTCCTCCTGGCAGCTTGCAAATGGAACAATGTGCAGGATGCTGTGGGGATGTGTGTAACCCCACAGGGCCACTTCCTTCGGGGGACAATTTCCACCTTGTCTGGAATCCACTTCCTGCTCACCCTCTCTTGGAGTGCAGGAAACAAGGGGATCCCACCTCGTGGGTGAATGACAGTGTCGGCAACAGCGGGAACCATGGCTCAGTCACTTTGTTAAAATCAGTGAAGCTACCATTTGATTACCACTAACCGTTCTGACATTTGAACCTTACTCTTTTTTTTTTAGGCTTGAACCTTACTTTTAGATTCTGAACGATTCTGGCTATTGTGGACTTACAGATTTTAAGAAATTCTGCTTGTCTTATTTAACTGTAATCACACTTTCTTTTTTTAAATTTTTAAAAAAAGTTTTGGTACTGGGGGTCAAACACTCGACCTCTCACTTGCTGGGCAGGTGCTTATGCCACTGAGCTAAATCCCTGGGCCATAATTTCTGTTTTTGAAGGTCAAATCGCCACCTTTTGACCAAGAGGAGGCCTTTTCCGCGCTCTCTCCTTCCCATGCAGCAATCCCCTGATGTTTCAGGAAGCTCATGTCTCTGGGTCATAGCGTCCAGGACCAGCTTCAGCTTCTCCTGTGCCATGAATGATACTGATGCCTTCCCCTGGGAAAAGGCAGGCTGAGGATGCAGGATCCACCGAGGCCTGGGCCCTCTGGGTCTTGTTATTCTGAATCAAGAGCCCCTTGTGGGGACCCGGATCACAGAGAGCCCTGGCTCTTAGAACTTGCCCAACTCATACTTTGGCTGGAATTGTTTTCACCACCAACTCTGTTGACTTTTGCATGTTGACTTTTGAGTGTTTCTGTTTGCTCGGTTTTACTGAGCCTCTCCAGGCTGTCATTTTTCCACTACAATGCTGACTGTGACACAGGGCATCACCTCTGGCACCGCACACTTTCCTTTCCCAGGCTTGTTGTTAAGCAGAGTACGTGTATGAATTCACACAATTCCACGCAAAGGCTGTTCTTATCACCCAAACACCAAAAAACCATGCATGAGATGAAAATGAAGTAGCCAGTGTTTAATTCAGACACAGCATAGATGTGCAGATTGGGAAAACACAAGCCCAGTGAATTCTCCCCCCAGGTGCCCGTGCAGGACCAAGGCTTTTTGATGAAAAGGATCTTTCTTTTAGGTGAACACGACTGACCTAAATTCAGAAGCCAGAAACTGACTCAAAGCATGTGAGCATAAATGTTATCTATTGGAGAGTTCACACTGGCCAAACTAGTATTTCTCAAACTGCAAAACTATTAGATTCTGGAAAAGTGTTCCTTTTGATTTGGCTCTGGACATGATGTCTCGCTCTCTGATTTTTGGGGAGATTACAAGGATTAAACCTGGGGTGCTCTACTCATGAGCTGCATCCCTAGATCTTATTTTTTGGTTCGTGTTATTTTGAGGCAGGGTCTCTGTAAATTGCCCAGGCAGGATTTGAACTTGTAAACCACCTGCCACCACTGTTGCTAGGTAATGGGAGGCTCAGCTCATTAGCACTTTATGTTGTCAATCCTTAGAGCAGGTGGGGACACCAAGGCACAGTGTCAGCACGGGACTGGAGGTGCACTCTT